ACACACATATTCACAAGTCTGGCACTTACAGTCACTGACACTGACACTGTGTGTGTGTGCGTGCGTGCGTGCGTGCGTGCGTGTGTGTGTGTGTGACACATCCAAATAAATAATAATTAGAAAATCCTCACAAATCATCATAAACAAATTTATTAAAAATGTGACAGTCTACCCTCGGGTCCGTGCTTTATTAATAAAGCACGGACCCGAGGGTAGACACATTTTTAATAAATTTTTTTCTGATTATTTGTGAGAGTATTTTCTCATTATTATTTCTTTGTATGTGTTTTGTGTGTGTGTGTGTGTGTGTGTCTACACACACACACACACACACACACACACACATATATATAGGTAAAAGAAATAATTGTCCTAAGGGCAAACACATAAAGGGAATACAGGTATACATTTCTTTGTACATAAGTAAAAATGTCCCCCCCCCCCACCCCATCTGCAAATTCGTGTTCATTTTGAGAACCTAACCCCTGCGAATTTGGGAGGCCCCCTGTATTAATAAGCAAATTATTTTATGTAACCTATTTGTCTTTACAGAAAACATCAAATCGTTGTTTTTAATTAGATTTTTTGCCAAATGGTCATTATTTGCCCTGAAAAGTATGAGATGATGGGCATTTATAACTGCTTGTGATTGTTATATTTTTGGATGGTAAATTCGCGAAAGGTATAGGAATTAAATGTACCGGTACGTATGAAATTTTTAAGAGGAACCTTTGTATCCTTTTCTAAGATTTTTTTGTGACTTTGGGTTTGAGGAAGACTTTGTGATTGCTTGGTGTCATAATGCATGTCTACTTATGCCTTGATTTCCTAGCCACCTTTTACAGTCTGCTCTTCCATAGAATGGCAGAATATAAAAAAAAATGTAAGTTTCCATGAACTTTGAGGATTTTATTTTACCTTTGTTCTTTTTTACATTCTTAGAAATATTAATGACCTCCCTCAGAAAACTTGGTTACTTGTAAATCTATTAAGTTTATTTTGGTCATTGATTTTTTATTTTGCAAGTTTATTTTTATGATGAGATGGTAGAGAGGGTACAAAACTTTAAAGGTCACCATGGTGAAGGGTAAACCTTGTACTGTACGGTATATTGAGGGAGGGTGTGTGAGGCAAATTTAAATTTGGAGGTTGAGTGAAACACCTCAATGAAGAGGAAAGAACAAAACATTTATATACTGGCAGGGATGATGCAATGAAGAAGGGAGTACAGAGTATTTAGGGACACATTATCATGATGGGGAGAACACAGAACTTAAAGTAATGTCACAATAACAGGTGGAATAGAGTCTATTCAGGGATATCATGGTACATTTAACATATTAAGGTAAAATGGGAGACTTCAGTATATTTATGGATGCCTTGGTGTAAGGAAAAGCTTAGTATATTTTAGAGATACTGTATCATCATGAAGGGGATATAACTTAATTTATACAATAATTGAAATGTAATACATATTTCATTGTAGGTGCTAAACAATAACACTGTACAGTAGACAGATATGTTGAAGTGTATATTGTTTAGTATTTTCATCCAGAGGTTTAAAGCAGTTGACTTCTTTCTTGCTTGACTTACTTGGATGTGACTGTTTGGAGTAGTGGGGTATAGGCTATTTAATTATGTGAGCAACTGTATTTTCACGAGGCATTTACTGCAGTATCATATTTATATGCAAGGATTGTACTTGAAATGTTCCATATACAGTCAAATGGGAGCTTTGGTAACCTAAAGCTGGTATTGTTTACAGTGAATAATATAAACATCAGGATGTTTTCATTAGGTATAATAAGAGAAAAAGGAGAATTACTGTTTCAATGTTTAAAAAAAAATTACTTGTATTCAACATATGTATGAAGAATTCAGAAAATTTGAAAAGCAAAACAAAAACAGATAGGGATTGCTTGTAAGTGAGTAGTGGAGGTGATGGAAAAAGTGATACTGTACCACAGGTGTTCAGAGTATTTAGTGGTTTGTGGTAGAGATTATTGATAATATGCATTTGGTGTTAATAAAATTAGTAAAGGTGCTGGATGGGGATTGCATCATGTAATGCATGTGTCTAATTCTTTTCATTTACGTAACAGAGTAGAATTTTGCTGCTATAAATATTTTAATATAGAAAGTGTTGAAGATGTTTCAGTGAATCCTAATAAAGTCAGTCATTCATAACAGTTTTCAAAGTTATTAATGGTGTATTTTTTATTAACCCTTTCAGTGATAAGTTTTCTCGTATACCGTATGTACAGTACACTGATGTTCCGATGCACAGTGTTGTAGAGAATTAAAAAAAGAACAAAACCTTTGGCATGAATATACAGCATACAGTAATACAGGTATCCATCATGATATGAACGTTCTAGATAAAAAAAATTCACTAATCCTAATTTCCTAAAGTGACAACTTTTTAGAGATACGAAAGTTTCCCCCGCTTATACGAATTTGGGTCTGGGCAAAAATTAAAATCGCGTGCACCACATTAGCGTATTGAAATGATTTTCCACAACTTCTATAGTTTCATTACATGTAACATTGCGAGGCAGTTGGGCTGGCGAGTCGGCAGCACAGTTATAGCGAAGGCCCTGGCTCTAATTGCCTCCACACACGTTCACTTCTCAAACATACACACCCATGCTCTCCATTTTAATATTTTATATTATAGGATTGTATTTTATTTACTACTAAGCCACATTAGAGTATTGTAATGATTTTTTGACAACTTTTATCGTTTCATTACAAGCAACAATAAACGCAGCAGCTAGGCTAGTGAGTTGAAGACGTAGTAGTTATAGGTAGCCCACCAACAACACACACGTTCACTTCTTAAACATACACCCCATGCTTTTTATTTTTCTTATTTTAAAGTTTTATATTATATTTTATTTATTTCTAAGCAACATCATTTATGCTACTATACAGTGGAATATCTGTTAAAGAAGTCCATTTTTCCGAGACGTGTGCCGGGAGTCACCTGGCTTGTCCATCTTGGGGGAGAGATGTGCAGACAGACCTCCATAAGGTAATATACCAAAGTTAAACTGTATTTTATTTTTTTTGGTGTGTGCGTCTTTGGTAGTAAATTAGAGTAGTTGTGTACTATTTATCATTAGTTAGGTAGGTTTTGTTCTTGTTATGAACCGATTACGTTATTCGGGAATGATATGAGGTTATTTTTGTCGTTTGGAACCGAACCCTATTTTTCCCATTCGTATCTCGAGGGATACCTGTAGTTGGCCGAGCCACACATACACATGCACACAACTGTGTATGTGTGTGTGTGTGTGGGAAGGGTTAAGGTTTAGAAAAAGGACAGGTGACTATCATCCTGGTGGAAAAATGTAAAAATTATAAAATACAGACACAATATTTACAACAGATTTGTAAAGAATTTTTAGTGGTATAATTGTTAGTCATGCACTGAAAGGGTTAATGAAGTACACATTAGAATATTGAATTTTCTATCTGATGTCCGTATGAAGGGTTTTGCAATTGAATGTTTTTGCTTCATTATTGGGTTTAAATAAGCCTAATGGAAAGTTACTTGTATTTATTACTGCACCTCACTAGCAGGTAATTGAAGTACAGGTTGGACGTCTTTAATCCGGTAAGCTTGGGACCAGACCAGTTTTGTATTAGCGAAAATTCCGAACCATTGAAGCCGAGGTAAAAAAAAAAAAAAAAAGAAACGGCAAAATAATGCATAAAATGGACCAGACTAATTTCTTCAGTATAGACACCTTTTCTAAAATACTGTAGTTAATGTCACAAGCTTACGTTTCACTGCATTACAACCACTTCCACTGCTTGCTGGTCTCTTAGGAGGCATATTTAGGGGTAAATTATAAGTATTTAAAGGTAAAATAGTGGCAACAGCCACTAGAAGTGAGCTATGACACCGTCCCTAACCATGGAAGCTGCTGGACTATCGGGTCCCAGATTAGCGGGGTCTAACCTGTACAGTACAGTAAATTACCTGTACTCTTTTCTGCATTGATTGTGGATAATTAGATATGGAGTAATCTATGTGGTTAATAAGTTAGAAAAAAGAGTTAATTGACAGTGACTTGGCACAGTCTGCTGCATAGTGAATGCTCTGAAAAGCCTGACATGTAAGGATTACAAATTCTCATCATTTGTTATGCTTTGCATGCTGTTTTTATCCCTTAAAGAAGAAAACTGTGTTTAGTAAATACAGTAGAAGTCCAAAAATCCGGACTGCTTGGGGATTGGGTCAGTCCGGATTTTCGGATTTTCTGGATTCTCAGGCAGTACCTTTAAAATTCAAATTTAAGGTGGAATAAAGAAGAGATGAACAGGTACATTTTGATAGTTTATTCATTAGCAAATATAGCATGCTTCATTTATCAAAACGAGCAGTTTTATAGAAATAGCTGTGAATTCTAGAATTTTATTCTTTGCCTTTTTTATATCATAAATTGTAGACTTTCCAATGTCGTATGTTTCCATTAGAACAGTATTGCTCACACCACATTCTAGTTTCTTAATTATTTCAAGTTTGTCACTAAATTTCAACGTGTTCTTTCTCTTCACACAACGAAGTTTATCTACTTTAGGAGCCATTATTATGGGCTTGTACGGTACTCTGTAAATGGAAAGGGTAGGATTCAAAATTACATACGTTGTCACAGTTTGATTGCTCGTTTTAAAGTGGCGACCGCGTGGTCGCTTGTTGTCGCTGTGCAGCTGTGACGCTCCTCAATTGTTTAAAAAAAAAAAATTGAGTTTTCAAAAAGTGTGGATTCTCGGGTGGTTCGGATTTTATTCAAGTATGTACTGTACTTTTTGCAGTTATGTTGTTAACAATATTAAGGAAAATTGTGCTTATGATCTGTATAGAAAATCATTATTCTTTTTATCTACAGTTTTGTTTATTGCAGAAATGAATGAGACAATATTAACAATGATTTTATCATACTACTCTGGACAACAGTTACGCATATTATGATTTCTTATTCCATCTCCAGGTACCTCATTCCTTTGCACTGCACAGCTACACAACACCTACCATCTGCCACTACTGCAAGAAGCTCTTAAAAGGTGAGATTATTTAAAGGTCATCCAAAGCTATTTTTATTATTGCATACCAGTAATCATTTTCAACCTACCAAATTTGTTAATTCAAATGATAGCTTAATTCAAATGATTGCTTGGTTGTTTCAGATTATTCCTTGGACATTTATGATCACTATTATTCACAAATGGTTCTTGTTGTGTATGACTCAGTCAGGCCACACTTTTGGTGAAGTGAAGGTGCTGCTGACGAGGTAGCCACTCTTCCAACCATAAGTAGATTTTATAATTATAAAAGAAAGGGATATTCCCTCAATGTGGAGGATGTCATTCAAGACAGAAGAATATTTCATTAGTATATCCACATACAGTACATTCTCCTCCTCTCCACTTCTCAGTCACAGAAAATGGGTCCCAGTAACTGGATAGATATGATGCTTCCCACTGGGAGAAAAAGAATGGTGCTGAGAACTCTACCAATCGAAAAGAAAGTGAAGATGAGACAGAATTGCTGCTGGGGTGTCCATGAATGTTATATTATATGTGAGGAGTTTGGGCTGAAGTGGAGCACTTTTATGATATCAGCCAGGTTTAAGTGGTTACTAGATATAAATGCAATTAAATAATAATGTAACTAAATATAAAGTGTAGCACAATACAAGTGTGAATACAAGTTTTGTAAGTGTAAGCAGCCCCTCATTGTCCTCCACCCCAAGATTCATTTATTACAATAAAAGTAAGTGCAGTGTAAAATTATACTGTTAAGGTAACTTTGATATTTTTTAGGGAAGGGATTTTTCAGCATAAGGGTGGTTGAAAGCACCTGTGGGGGGGTTTTTGTGTAAGTTCTAGATAAGTTGGACGTCCTTGAGCCCCAAATAGTTTGACTTAGGGAGGTCTTCCTACAGTATATGAAAAACTCGGGCTTTTTACCAAAAAATTAGACGTTGATATATACACACACACACACACACACACACACATACATACATACATATATATATACATATATATATATATATATATATATATATATATATATATATATATATATATATATATATATATATATATATATATATATATATATATATATATATATATATATATATATGTATGTATGTATGTATGTATGTATGTATGTATGTATGTATGTATGTATGTATGTATGTATGTATGTATATATATATATATATATATATATATATATATATATATATATATATATATATATATATATATATATATATATATATATACAGTGACCCCTCGTTAACGAACTCAATCCGTTCCAGAAGGTCGTTCGTTAACCGAAAAGTTCGTTAACCGAAACCATTGTTTCAATGGGTTTTTGGGTAATTGGTTCCAGCTCACCGAAAATTTCCTAAATTCAACAAAAATGGTAGAAAAGTTCACTTACTTTGAGGTGTGTATGTAGAAGGCTCCTGGATGATGATGATGATGATGGGATTTAGAATGGGGGTGGAGGAGAAGGAAGAAGAGAAGGCATTGGGGTGGAAGAGAAGTCACCCCATGGTGCCATTTCACCCATAAAATTTTAGCTCTCTGGTTTAATTCAAGATTATTTTCTTTAAATCAACGCTGCACTGCATTATATATTGTCAATATATAAAATATATTTCAAAATGACCAATAATTTGCTTGGAAACACAGAAAAAAAGCGTTTAGTTGAAGAGAGTCTCAAGCAAGATGTTACCTCCAGTGAAAACAGAGAGAGACTGACGCCTGTTTGCTGTGTAAAGAGGCTGGATGCCGCGCATTAAACTAGTCACTTTACCTTCAATTTTGTTCAATAATTGTTAAAATGACTAAAAAATTGAATATTAAACTTTTAAAATTATTGAATAGTATAAACTTCTTGATATTTACAAAAATAGTAAGGAATTTAAGCCCTAGAACCGATTAATGTATTGGCGGACTGATACTAAAGCTGGTTGCCCTGTCAGTGCAAGCGAAAACATGTTGAGGTCGGTTCGTAAGAAGTTCGTTAAGCGAATTTTTTTTCGTTAACCGAATTGAAGATCCTTATGGAAGGCAGTTCGTTAATCGAAATTACGTTAACCGAGGTGTTCGTTAAACGAGGGGTCACTGTATATATATATATATATATATATATATATATATATATATATATATATATATATATATATATATATATATATATATATATATATATATATATATATATAAGAGAATAATATACTGTACCAGGTAAAAGAAAAATCAAGGTTTAACACTTACGTTAGGTTAGGTTAGAAAAAATCAAGATTTAACACTTACGCCAGGTTAGGTTAGAAAAAATCAAGGTTTAACACTTACATTAGGTTAGGTTAGGTTTAACACTTGCGTTAGTAGAAGAGATGGGTCGGCATAATGGGGGCTGGTTCCGATGGCAGAGGGCAGATTACTGGCCTTCTGGTGAATCACCATCACTATCCACCACATATTGACTGCTTCGATATGAATTTGAATAATGGCATGTACAAACTGGACAGTTTTGTAATTAAGAAGATTTGTAACCAGGTGAAAAGGTTGGGTCACCTTACCCTCTGACCTGACTACCTGCCGTTGCTGTGTTTTTTAAAGATTAGTAGGGTCATTACCTAATACCTGACCATTGTGGACCTGATCTCACCCTCCTCTGTATATATACACTTTATTTTGTACTTCTCCTTAGTCTGTACTCACCCCTGAAGATGTGAATTACACGAAAGCATTTGGGAACTTCGTGTTTTCTTCTTTCCTTGTGGTTATCAGCATATACCTGGATCACGCGCAACTACAGTGATTTACTTGCATATATATACCAGACTTTCACTTTCCGCTGTGCATCTACTCATATACGCTGTGAAGTATAATTTTGTTTTTATTTTTTTTATTTAGCTCATAAAATTCATACAAATTACCCGGCCAGAATATAATTTAAATTGCTGGAATTCTTACAATATGATGATCATTTTGAATATAAACATATCTTTTGTGCAAAATATATGAAGTTTACATTCAAAATATTCCCTGACCTGCAAGGAATCCAGAAATGTCAATTATATTATCCTAACTAAAATCTAGATTTCTGAGGTATTATTTATTACTAAACGTTAAAATCTAGAGTTTTCACCCAAACATTTCTCAGAGAGGTAGGAGCTAGTGAGCTGGGAAGAGAGGGGATTTGAGTCCATTATTTGAATGGACATTAACCTGGCGACTGTATTTCTCTTAAATATTAATTGTGTGAGCATACCATCATAAAATTTAGATGTTATTTTTACTACAACATAGGTATTGTGTCGGAAAAAGTGGAGTTTGGGGGTCGGGCCAGTCTCTATTGGAATTAATCCCATATGTTCTGTTGTTCACTTTACGCGGTTTTCACTTTCCGCGGTACCCTGTGGGTTCAATTGACCACGTAAATACTACTGTATGTGAAATTGGTTTATACACGAGTATATACGAGTATTATATACGGTATATAATTTGATAGACAGGTTAGATAATATTATTTATGCAGTGTACCATTTATATATTATACGCATCTTCAACAGGTCTCTTTCGGCAAGGTGTTCAGTGTAAAGACTGCAAGTTTAATGCTCACAAGAAATGTTCAGAGAGAGTGCCAAAGGACTGTACTGGAGAGGCACCCAAAAAGGGTAAGGATTCATATTTACCTCAAGTGAAATAAAAGAAGTTTGAGGATATCATTATGCCATGAATAGTATACTATGAGTATATCAAGAGAACATTCCTCATAATTTATAAATAAACACCTGAAAATTTCCAGATGATGGGGACACTGGTTCTGATGGTTCTCGTGACGATGAAAGTGACAATGAAGATTCACCACCATCGACGATTCAGTTTGACCCAGAGGGTAATGATGAAGAAAATATCCCAAGGCCAAGGCCACACAGGTAAGTTTGTCAATATGTTTGTGTCAGTTTTTAATAGCTTAGTTTCAACCAAGAACATCAAAACTACCTTCATTAAAATACTGTGAAATTCTACTCTCTCTCTCTCTCTCTCCTTAAAATATTGTAGCAAACAGTCATGTTTCTACTGTATGAATTCTACCAGCTTTTGTATGTGACACTAAAGTTTTAATTGTAAATTTTCTCATTGTTAATAAACTGAGAATAATGCCTCAGCCTGGTTGTTTGATGAACTGGTGGTTTAGTGGTAACATGCATATCTCTCACCAATATGTCAAGGGTGTGAGCCTCAGCCCAGAAACACATTTGTGCTGGGAATTTGATTAAAAGCTTTCTGGGATGCATATGTGGGCGGGCTGCCCTAACCCACCACGTCCACAATGGTGGGTGTGGGACCTTGAACTGTAAGTGAACAGCTAAGGAGGAATGTCTTTTAGCCCATTGTGGGCCAGTGGATTGCTGCCTGACTGCCAACCTTGGTGGCCCAGGTTCGAATCCTGGCACGCACACAGGTGAATATTGTTTAGTCGATTTTGGCCTTTTTGTTGAAAGGGCATACTAAAGAGGAGCACATGTAGTAAGGTAGCTCAAAGAACTAATGACAGTGAATGAGTTAGGCTTTGTATTGCTTTTGATTTGGGGTACCTTGCACTAAAGAAGAAATGAGCCTATAAAAGTACATTTTTATTTATTTATTTATTTACTTATTAATTTTAATTATATTTATTTATTTATTTATTTTTATTTTTATTTTTATTTATTTATTTATTCCTTGTCCATAGTCCATCAGCCAGCAACAACATTCCCCTGATGAGAATTGTGCAGTCTGTAAAACACACCAAACGACCATCGAAGGTGCTCAAAGAAGGGTGGATGGTTCATTGCACAAATAAGGACAGTATGGTAAGTTGAGTAAATATTACAGTAAAAGTTATTTTGTGTACAGCTATAACATGTGACAGCTACGCTATGGTCATAAAAGACCAGATGTGTGGGTGGTTTACTTAGGATGGCTTGAATGCAATTCAGTACTAATTACTTGGGGACACCTCAATACCAGTAGTTGTATCACTTGCATTGCAGGAGTAATGTTTGTTAAATGTGATTTGATCCAACAAAACTTATTGATATAGAAGAATGGTTATGAGAAAAATATTTTATCAATCTTTTACTTATTTTGGAGAATAATAATCATATTGTTAAACAGCGCAAGAGGCACTATTGGCGTCTGGATACAAAATCCATTACATTGTATCAGAATGAAACAAGCACCAAGTATTACAAAGAAATACAACTCTCAGAAGTGCTAAATATAGAAACTGCTAAACAGCCGCAACCAACTGGTAAGTATATGTGTAATTACATACAATAATAGTACAGTACAGGTTGTACCTCTCTAGTCCGGCATTCTGTGGTCCGGAAACTCCCGTGGTCCGGAACGATTTTAGTTTGTCCAATAGGTAGATAGGCAGCTTTTTTTTTTTCTTTTTTTTTATCTAAATTATTATTATTATTACAGGAATATTAAATTTTTGCCCCTCAGGCCCCAATGTGGGTCAGTGACCTATGCCCGGGTGGGCTAATCCCCTTAAAAAAAAAAAGCCGCGGGAAATTAAGGTTTGTTTACATCCGGCAGTTCGGCTGCTCTCTCTCTCTGCTTGTCTATACAGAGTACAACATTTAACCCTTCAATATATATGAGCAGTAAATAAGTGTTGCTTTCATATTCTTATGTAGAGTAATTACGATATGTTTTCACATGTGAGCACTTGCATACGCGGTCTCACATTTTTTTTTACCATTAATTGTTAGCTACTTATATTGTTCCATTTATTAACATTAAATAACATTACAGGTACTTCAAGCAACCATATTAATTTTTTTACATTAATTTTACTACAGCTACAATCAGGGTCTTATTTTCTTCAGTTTTATATGTAGAACCGATCGGTCACTCGTTTTGTAAGCTTTAACAAAAGCAATGCCGGCAGCCGTCTCGTCTCCTCGTGTGTTTTAATATTCCACATATTATTAATAAATTGTATTGTTAATTTTGCATACACAAACATTAATTCAATAAAAACAAATTCAGAAACATTAATTAAAATATATATGAACAGTAAATAAGTGTTGCTTTCATATTCTTATGTAAAGTAATGACGATATGTTTTCATGTGTGTGCACTTACATACGTGATCTCTCTTTTTTTCTTTACCATTATCGTTAGCTACTTTTATTGTTCCATTTATTAACATTAAATAACATTACTTAAAACAACCATATTAATTTTACTACAGCTACAACCAGGGTCTTATATTCTTCAGTTTTATATGTAGAACCAGTCATTCACTGGGTTTGTAATCAACGAAAACAATGCTGTCTCGTCTCCTCGTGTTTTTTTAATATTCTATGTATTATTAATGAATTGTATTGCTCATTTTGCACACACAAACATTAATTCAACCAAAAAGACTTTCAGTAATAAACAATAATGAATCTTTTGTACATAAGAGAAATGACGCTGTTTACAGGATTGTGCACGTCGTCTGAATGTTGGTGGGCCGTTCAAACCCGTCAAAATTCGAGTTTCTGCCGTCAAAATTTTTAAATGTGGTTTTTTTTGTGTGTGTTCAAATAGAAAACGTCGAATTAAAAACTCGCGAAATTTGAGAAGCTACTGTATGACATTTAACCCTTCAATATGTCTTCAAAGAGACCCTGAAGCAGAGAAAGTGGTGCTAGTGCTTCCAAGCATAAGCACAAGTCACTATCTATCCAGGAAAAGGGTGAATTTCCATGGTCCAGAAATTTCCATGGTCCGGCACCTGTCTGGTCCCGAGGTTGCCGGACTAGAGAGGCACAACCTGTATACTGTACAAACTTTTTAAGTATTAATGCATATGTATGCATACATATGTGTGTGTGTGTGTGCGTGCATATATATATATATATATATATATATATATATATATATATATATATATATATATATATATATATATATATATATATATATATATATATATATATATATATATATATATATATATATATCATCAACAGCAGCTGTATCTTTCAACCTCTGTTGGATGAAAATCTCTTGCATATGCACCTATAATCCTCTATCTTGAGGCTTCCCAGACATTTTTAACCCCTCCAAATTTCTTGATCTCATCTATCCACTTAATGTAGTACTGTAGTGACTAGGTAGTTGATTTTTTTATTATGAGCTTTGATAGTGACTCATAAGTTTGAACAGTTAATAATCCCTTGTTACAGAGCCTACAGGAGGACCTGTAGGAAAATTCTCTTGTGGGCTCAGCTCAGTCTTCTGGAATTAGTGATTACTGTTGATCATGAGTTATTCTCAGTGGATTTAAGATATCCATCCCCAAACCCTAGATCTTTTAATATTTTGTTGAATCCAGTTGAGAAACATTATGGTCTACTGTTGACTGTATCTCACATTGAAGTTTGGCTTAACCACGTTGACTTGAGAGCTTACCAATACAGTATATTTCATTTCCTGTCACTGAATGTGCTAACTAGCTTTAACTGAATCACGCTCGATTTAGCGAACTAGTTCGCTAAATTGGGCGAAAATAATGGAAATTCAATTTAGCGGAAATTTTGATTTAACGGAAAGGAATGGCTCAAATAAGTCTGTTAAATTGAGAAAATTCAGTGATATATCCGTTAGCCGGAACAATTGGTGCAGAGCACTTCCGGGAATGAGAGATTTCTGCGTAATGAGACGACTCTCAAAGCCGGAAAAAATCCCTCATCCCCGGAATTTTCTGGAATTTTCCAGATAACAGAAAAATGTTCTTGGAAGATCCAGAAATTACCCATTTCAGTGAACCCTCGCTTTACGCGGTTTCACTTTACGCGTTTCTACATTTACGCGGTTCCCTGCCAGAACCAGAATTCCCACTTTACGCGGTGTATCTACTCATATACGCGGGTGAAGTATAATTTTTTTATTTAGCTCATAAAATTCATACAAATTACCCGGCCAGAATATAATTTACATTGCTGGAATTCTTACAATTTGATGATCATTTTGAATATAAGCATCATAGATTTTGCATTAGACATACATATTTTAGATCTAATGCAAGTATTTTGTTTACTCAGAGCAAATATGTTATCTTTTGTGCAAAATATATGACATGTATATTCAAAATATTCCTGGTCTTGCAAGGAATCCAGCAATGTCAATTATATTATCCTAACTTTAGTCTGAGGTATTATTTATTACTAAACATGTAAATATACTGTTATAACCCAATCATTTCTCTGGTAGGGAGGGAAGGTGGGGGTGAGGGGTAGGGAGGGAGGGAGGGAGCAGGTGGGAAGAGGGGTGGTGGGAGGTGGGGTATTTTGATTGACAGGTAGTATTTGGGTCAAGTATATTTTGTTTATTTATTGAAGATAGTTTTAGCTCATAAAATTCATACAAATTACCTGGCCAGAATATAATTTACATTGCTGGAATTCTTACAATTTGATGATCATTTTGAATATAAACATCATAGATTTTGCATTAGACATACAAATTTTATATCTTCTGTAGTATTTTGTTTACTCTGAGCAAATATGTTATCTTTTGTGCAAAATATATGATGTGTATATTCAAAATATTCCTGGTCTTGCAAGGAATCCAGCAATGTGAACTATATTATCCTAACTTTAGTCTGAGGTATTATTTATTACTAAAAAGGTAAATATTCTGGTTTCTCCCAAACATTTCTCTGGTAGGGAGGGAAGGTGGGGGGTCGGGGGAGGGAGGGACCGACCGACTCAGCTGGCGTGGTGGGAAGAGGGGGGGGGAGGCAAGGTGGGGTGTTTTGATTGACAGATAGTGTTGTGAAGAATATATTTTTTTTTATTAACTGAAGATATTTGTTTTAGCTCATAAAATTCATACAAATTACCCGGCCAGAATATAATTTACATTGCTGGAATTCTTACAATTTGATGATCATTTTGAATATAAACATCATAGATTTTGCATTAGACATACAAATTTTAGATCTAATGTAAGTATTTTGTTTACTCTGAGTAAATATGTTATCTTTTTTGTGCAAAATATATGACATTTATATTCAAAATATTCCTGGTCTTACAAGGAATCCAGCAATGTCAATTATATTATCCTAACTTTAGTTTGAGGTATTATTTATTTCTATACCTTAAAATCTAGTGGTTTTCCCCCAAACATTTCTCAGAGAGGGAAGAGCCAGCGAGTGTGAGAAGAGGGGGAGGGAGTTGAGTCCATTATTTGAATGGACATTATCTTGGCGACTGTATTTCTCTTAAATATTAATTGTGCATGTACCATCATAAAATTAAGATGTTATTTTTACTAGAACATAGGTATTGTGTCGGAAAAAGTGGAGTTTGGGGGTCAGCCGGTCTCTATTTCATTTAATCCCATATGTTATGTTGTTCTCTTTACGCGTTTCTCGTTTTATGCGGGCCTCCGTGGGTTCAATTGACCGCATTAAGTGAGGGTTCACTGTACATCATCTCTCAAACCCGGAAAAATATCCCCCATCCCCTGAATTTTCCAGGTACCAGAAAATTTTCTTTGGAATTTACAGAAAATGCGCCTGATTTTCATCTCTCAAACCCAGAAAAAGCCGGGTTTTTTTTTCTTCTAAAAAATCAGTTTTTGTGATATAGTCCAGAATGCGAGGTCTAGCTTTATACCTAGGTATGTTAATGCCTAGCAATAACTTGCCAGACCAACATACAGGCAGTTAAAACATGTAATAATTACTCAATACGTAATATTAGGAGGACACGTCACTACCTGGCATTTACTTCCAATTCTCAAAACCCCCTCCCGCACCCTCTATCACACGCATTGCTACCGTCATATCTTGCCCTAGAGCGAGCTGTAAACAAATGTCAACTCTCAAGGGGTGGAGATGGCTGGGATGTCTACTTTGCATTCTGGACTACATCACAAAAACTGTTTTTTAGAAGAAAAAAAATGCTTTTTTGTTCAATCCAGAATGCGACGTCTAGCTTTGATTACCCGAGCAGGAGGTGGAGAGGGAGGTGACATTGTGTATAAGGCTCCGCTAGCTTAGGTCCAGATTATAATTATATATATATATATTTTTTTTTCAATATTAGGAACATTTACCGGAAGGTAAAATGTTAATTTACCCAATTAGGATACTCACTTTACTCTGATGAGGAAGGAGAAGGTCCTGGTTGTGGAGAGTAACTACAATAGGTGGGGGAGGGGACCCCAGCTCCACCACATGTGAAGCATCTTCCAGAGATAGATGAAGATAGCTGTTTTGAAAGGTTTTTGAAGATCTCCAAAAGCCCACTTCTTTGATCTGACTGAGGCTCATATGCCGCAGAAAGGCCACAGACCCTGCGTATTTCCTGGTGTCATGTGCCAAAAATTTCTTGCCAGGGTCTGCTTGACTCACTAACTGAGATAAATATTTTGTCATTTGACTAGGAGACAATTTCTTACCATCCTGTGATGAGAATACATAGGGGCTTCAATTAGGGAATCTGGTTAACCATTCTTGAAGATTCCTAACTGGGCACAATATATGAAGAACCCATGTCTCATCCATCAGCCATTTTATCCAGATAGATTGAGCTCTATAATCCTTCCTTTCATTTTTTCTTAGAATCTCCATAGGAAAAAGGGTGACATCTTACTCAGAAAATACCAATAATGATGGATAATTGGAAATTTAAATCAGTTCACTGATTCTCATACCTGTTGCTATTGCTAGAAGGAAGGCTGCCTTCTGGAGCAATCTGTCCCAGTTCAGATTTATATTGTAATTAGGCTCCATAAGAAATTTAGTAACTTTGCTTAGAGACCAAGGTGGGATTCTTTTAGGCCGAGGGGGTCTCTGAATGAAAAAGGACGATCTGAGCATTTGTTAAATTCTTGGGTTCAAAGTAATATTAAAACCCCATGCCAGAGGGTCAACCAATGCAGATTTATAAGATGCAATTGTCGATCCTTGAAGGCCTTTAACTCTGAACAGAAATTCTAACACCACTGTTTCCAACAGTGTGATTGGAGTCGTTAACCTGATAAATTGTTGAAAAAGTTTCCAAGCTTTCTCATATTGCATAGAAGTTTGGAGCCTATTAGCTGCTATCACTTGGTTAACGATATTGGAATTACCCAACAATCTATTTAAACATCTTTCGAGAAACTCCAAGCGTGAAGTGCCAAGGACATCTCGAACTGAGGGTGCTGTACCTGTTCTACATATCCCTGTTGCAATTGTAGTGGATGCGGGCACCAGTCCAACAGATCGAGACATCACGGTTGTAGGATCCAATATGGTACAATTAAGAGGACCTTCCCTTTGAAGGATGTGAGTTTGTGAACCACTTTGGTCAACATTTTTACAGGTGGGAACAGATAGATTGAATTCCAATGGTTCCAATCCATGAGTAGATCATTTCCTAAAAGATTCGATCGTTCCAGAGATGCATAAATTGGCATCTTGTGATTGTTTTGTGAGGCGAAGAGATCTATTTGTGGAGTCCCAAACCTCCTCACTAGAATCTTGAACTTCGATATCTTTAGGGACCATTCTGTTTCCGTCGATACTGGCCTGAGACGGGACAACGCATTTGTTACACAAACTTTGAAAAAAAAATTCGGTAGGTTTAGAAGAGGCCAAGATCTGGTTGAGCCTTGATGATTGAGACAAAACACTGCCATTCTGTTGTCCATGGCAAACAGAATCGTCATGTTTTTTAAATTTGGGTTTGCCAAAAAAAAGAATAGGACTACAGGCAGTCCCCGACTTACGACTGGGTTAGGGACCCAAATCCAGGTCGTAAGTCGAAAATGATACATAGAAAATTTAAAATGGGTGTTTCTCTTTCTTCTCAGCACCACAAAACTCTTACTTTTAAGCTTGCCAGCCATTTTAAAGGGAATTATAAACAAAAATTTTGTCAGTACTGTACACAGCGCAATCACTAACGTCGGGTCTCGAAAATACGTAATTTGAAAAAATTTTGGTACGACTGAGGCATTCGTATGTCCGGGTTTTCGTAAGTCGAGTAGGTCGTAAGTTGAGGAGTACCTGTACTGCTAATTTTTTTATGTTTATGTGTTTGTCCCAAAGGGAGTTGCTTCACTTCCCTTGACGGAACTCTCCTTTTGAGGAATGGTATCCCCATCCTATTTTGGATGTTTCCGTACAAACGACCAAGTCTGTTTGAGGGGGGGGGAACCCAGGGAGATGAACTGATTAGATTGTCCCAATTTTCCCACCATGACAGAAGATTCTTGATCTGAATAGGGAGAAGCAAAATTTCTGTTTCTGTGGGTCAGTGACCTGTGCTCAGGTGGGCTAATACTCTTAAAAAAAAAATAATAAAAAATAGAATTTCATTTAAAAAATCAGGCTGCGTCTTCCAAGCCAAAAAATACGGTAACAAGGTATAGACTTTATTTCTCGGTATAATTGATCTCATTGCTGATGTTTCAATTGCTTTCCATTTATTTTGGATTCAATAACAGATGTATCAAGAGGGGTAATGCACTGCTTTGAGCTACGGACTGCAAATGTTGACTACTATGTTGGAGAAGAACCCATTAGCAAGAAAGATGGAGCTCCAGTCGTTAATCCTCCAGAGACTGGCATTGGACTTTACTTAGCCAAGGTGAATGTTCCACTGCTTTTAAAGTACTTGTAGCTTGAAACATCTTTCTCTAGAGAAGAAAAGGTTGGGAAAGGTGAAGAGGACGTAGAGGAAGGATATAAAGGGAAAGGAAGTTTTTAGGAGAATAAGGACTGATCTGAGGTTTGAACTGGCATGCACGGGTAAGTGTGTTAGGCTCCTTACTAATTTCAGCATTAGGGGATCTAGTTTAAATAAACAGGGGTGAAGGAGGCACTTGATACTATTTGGGCGGATAATCAAAGTATCCCTTTCTATGTGAGGAGTAGGAGGGAAACTAATGATGATACTAACTGGAATATTAGGGAAGAATTTGTTTTTGAAAGCAGACCTGATGTAAATGAGTAACAAATTTCTTAGCTATTATTGTTTGCAAAAGTTGAATTTTCTAGTCCTCTGTCTCCCTGCCATTTAGAAAAATAGCCGCTTGTTGGCAGTTTGAGTGGTATGTGTTTGTGTTTGAATGTGTGCAAACCATTAAAGAATGCCACGTAGGTGGTACCTGACTTGTATGTGAAGGTGTCTTGGTTGTTGAGCCTTTCCTTAAAGTTTGCTGTTTACTGAGGAATATTTTCATAAAAATTTTAAGGGATTGTGTGAAGCATATAATGCGGACAATGGTTACAGATAAAGAGCGAATGCATAGTATATGTTCTCAAAAACAGAAAACTATACTGTTAAATATTGGTAGTTTTATTGTTTTTATTCTACAGGTGTGGGAGAATGAAATTCGTAAAGCATTGATGCCAGTAACACCTCAGGCCAGCACAACACCCACCCACCCTCAGCAGCAGGGTATGGATAAGGAAGAAGCCACTTGTAATGACATCTCACAGATTTATCAGATATTCCCTGATGAGGTCCTTGGTTCTGGACAATTTGGTATTGTTTATGGAGGTAAGTGAGTAAGGAAGCTTATAATGTTAATATGGAGTAACAATGATTGTCAAGCAAGTCCTTCATCTCTAGTGTTTTAGCAGATTTTAAAATATCTGTTCATGTGTATGATACAGGAGCCCAATAGGAGCTGAGTTGAATAATTCACAGATGACACTGCTCTGAAAAAGCGTATACAGTAATTCAGAGGTGGATGGTAGGAGAAAAAGGAGAATACAGTACCTAGGAGATGAGAGAATGGAGTAAAAGTTACACTAAAAGTGAGGCTAATATATATTCAGGGCACAGCTATGTTCGTGACTGACTGGAGAGAAAGATGTCATGTGATTTTTGGGGATGGATGTACTGTTGATGGATGATTGCATACTTACCAACTGATAATTAGTAAATCCAAGTCATATTATAAATTACTAGAGGTGTATACAATAAGTACAATGACATCTCTGTTAGCCAGAACAATTGGTGCAGAGCACTTCCAGGAATGAGAGATTTCCGGGTAACGAGACGACTCGGAGCCGGAAAAAATCCCTCGTCCCCGGAATTTTCCGGGTAACGGGAAAATGTTCTCGGAAGTCCCAGAATGGTGCATTATTTCATCTCTCAAGGCCAGAAAATATCCCCCATCCCCAGAATTTTCCAGGTATAGGAAAAATTTTCTCGCAATTTCCAGAAAATGAGATTTTCATCTTTGATAACACTGCACCTGCAGCACAGCCTTATGTTATTGATCAGCTGGTATCTACCCACTAAATTGAGTGTAAGACTAAATGAGCAAAGTTGTATCCATTCAACATTATATTACATAGCATTTTAAAGTATGGAGTGAGAAAGCAGAAAGCTGTGGGTGATTAGAGGTGGAGTGGAATGTATTGGTAACACACACAGAGTGTCCCTAAGCTCTTCTCAGCAGCTGATTTCCAACCGGCCACCAAACATTGTGCTTTAGTTAACCACACACAATTTTATGTTACACTATACAGTAAGACCTACACTTAATATAACAACTTCATGGTTGTCATGGCTGAAGCTTTTATCTTGTTTGCATTCTTAATAATGGTTCTAACAGTTGATGTAGCCTGGTTAAAGCAGCACCGACATCCTCCTGATGCTCACCAGCTTCCAACCACCTCAACATTTGAGGTGGCACTTAAGATGCACTAGCAGCATTAAAACTTGCAGGCCATTTTCCAGACATCATGAGTAAAAAATAGTCACTAATATCAGAAAATTAGCAAATCAACAAGAATGTATGCACAGTGTAAGTGCAGCAAATTTATGTTGTACGTACCGTTAACACTGCACTTGGCGCTGATCGGCTGAGTGCGTAAAAACAAAGAGAGCTGCTCTTTGCGTGTTGTGAGTGCTTGGGCCCATGACTTTTGACTACTTTTATGTTGTTTCCCCCCCCTCCCTCCCCCTTAGAGCTCCAAGATGCTAGCAACAGCGTTATAACGAAACAGTGTTTTATGGGGTAGCACTTATCCGGGTATTACTGTACTGTATAAGATACTACCATTAGAAATTATTGCTTTTGTTAGATACATTTTCTTTCAACAAATTATATGATTATTTCAGCATTATGTTAAGTGCATGTGACTCAATCTACTGTAGTTACTTGTAGGGATTTTAAATAAGACAAGAGAGATTAAGGAAGATGGGAATCTCACACTGATATTGAGCTGAAATTAGTAATCAAGGGAAACAAATTTTTATTCCAGTGATGTTTATACTTTGAGTACAGTACTTTAGAAACTTGTTACTTTTTACTTTTACCCGAAGTAACATGATGAAAGAGTACTGTACTACTTTTGCATGAGTAAGTTTTCCTCAGAGTAACGGTACTTATATTCAAGTAACTTTTTCCACTTTTTTGTCCAACCATGTCTATTACATTACCACTTTGGAAATATGTTCCCTATTAGGGACTAAATAAAGTACAGTAAAACCTCGGATAACAATAATTCGTCCAACAACTTTTCGTATTTGAAACCCTAGATAATTTAGGACCCAATTCTGTTTACAGCCTTATTTCATTCGTATTTACGACCAAAATATAATAAAAATAAAATAAATTACATTTTCATATAAATAATAACTAAATCCTGATATGTATTAGAAAAAAATTACTGTAAAAAAAATGAAGAGCGCCTTGCGCAAAGAAGCTGCATTGCTAATGAGTGATAAACAACACTGAGCTTGGCGGGCACTTTTGTTTTCACGCATCTGGAACAGGATCTGGAGAAAAACTTTCTCAGGTTTCTTACAGCATTTTTGCATCCCTATTCAACATGAGCAAGAGAGCAAGTGATGGTAGTGTTGTTTCAAAAGCTAATAGAAAGTGTCTAAGCTTAGCCAAGAAACTAGATGTGTTAAAACAATATGAAAAAGGTGAGAGGTCTGTGGATATTATATGGAGCAAGCAATGAACATATTTTTTAAGTGGATCCATTAACAGAACAAAGCCTTAAAATTTAAATAAATGCAAATGACCTCTACATAAAGATGTATAATGAGAAAAGAAAGCAGCTGTGCAAGGTTCTTTCGAGAGCTTTATTATCGAAGGCCTAAACCATCAACTTCAGCTACACCATCAAATTCAGCATCATAAGCAGCTTCAACATCAACTTCAGTTTCAGCAAAACAGCTTTATGGAAAGCTACAGCTTCAGCCATAATTGAACCTGATGACTTCGTCATCTGAGTAAAAACTCGCACAATATTCATTGGCTGTCCTTATGTTTTAGATTTTACCGCCATTGGTGAATAGAATTTTAGTTTTACATTCGTAAATATTATTTAAAACATATATGAATTGTAAATAAGTGTTGCTTTCATATTCATATGTTGAGAAATGACGATATGTTTTCACATGTACGCGTTTACCGTTCATACTTTGGCGTTCCCAATCGTCTCGCCTTATTTCTTTACCATTAGTGGTTAGCTACTCCTAGTGTTCCATTTATTAACATTGAATAGCATTATTTAAAACATTCATACAGGTATTCATTTTTTTTAAATTCAGTTCACTACAGCTACAACCAGGGTCTTATTTTATTCAGTTTCTTATGTAGAACCATTGTCACTCACGAAAACAATGCCATCTTAACTCCTCGTGTGTGTATTAATATTCTAAGTATTATTAATGAATTGCATTGTTCATTTCACATATATAAACATTAATTCAATCAAATGCATATTCAGTAATAAACAATAATGAATCTTTTGTACATATTCTTAAGATAAGTGATGAGGTATCCTTAAATGCGCACGTATATGTTGGCGTTCCCAATCCATCTCTTTTCTTTTTTCTTTGCCATTAGTGGTTAGCTACTTCGATTGTTCCATCTATTGACATTAAATAACGTTACTTAAAACATATATATTAATTTTTTCACATTAAATTTACTACAGCTACAACCAGGGTCTTATTCTCTTAATTTTCTCGTGTAGAACTATCGTTCCGGACTCCCGGCTGTAAACACAAACGAAAACAATGGCGTCCCATCTCCCCTTGTGTGACCATATTATTATTTATATTGAATAAGGTGTATTCATAAACATTATTTCAAGAATATAGTTTGCAATTTTCATTAATTGTATTGGGGGGAAAAGAGGGTAAAAAGCCACACAAAGGATATGAAAAGGTCACACTTGGGAACGCATCTCATTATTATTGCTTTATTTTAATGGTAATTAATGATTCGCGATAAGACGATTCACCTTACACAGCAATATTGGAGGACACATTAACGTCGTTATTCGAGGCTTTACTGTATCATACATAGCATGGAAGCAGATGGTTTGGATGATAGTGTTATGTGCATTGATCATAGTATTTGCAGATTTTTTCTTGCCTTTCACCTTTTGCAATATACATATACAGTACAGTAAAACCTCTATAAATTGGGAATCAATATATTGGAATTCACTTTTTTCGGACTCTGAGGTGCTATGGTCCCCAGAAAAAAAAAATTATATTTTAAGAAATGGGGAAGATTAAAAAAAATTTCTCATGTAAAGAACAACACTTACTCAATGAGTACTGTACAGTGCTCTAATCCGATTTTCTATAGGCTTACCGAGAACTAAGACACTGAGTGTCTAAACAGCTGGAGCTGATCGGGTGTTGCTGCATTCATCAGCTTTATTTATTGATTGATTCAGTATTATGCAGTAGGATTGGGAAATATCGCGAGATAGGGTTCAACGATGTTCTCTATACAGTGGTCCCTTGGTTAAAGGAACACAATTCGTTCCAGAAGGTCGTTCGTTAACCGAAACCATTGTTTCAATGAGATTTTGGGTAATTGGTTCCAGCTCACCGAAAATTACATACAAAGTAAAAACAAAAAATGCAGTAAAGTACACTTACTTTGAGGTGTGTATGTAGAAGGCTCCTGGTTGATGACGATGATGATGGGAATTAGAAGTGGGGGTGCAGGAGAAGGAAGTGGGGGTGAAAGAGAAATCACCCCATGCTTGATGCCGTCATTTCACCCATAAAATTTTAAGTTCACTCGGTATAATTCAAGATTATTTTCTTTAAATCAACACTGCACTGCACTATATATTGTCAATATGTAAAATAAATTTCAGAATGAACAATAATTGTACTGTAAAAACATAAAAATAGTCTGTGTTCAAGAGACCCACAAGCAAGATGTTTCCTCCACTGAACAGAGATACAAACTGAGGCCTTGGTGGGTGAGTGAAGTGGCTGATGGGCACACCAAAAACTAGTTCCCTGTACTGCAATTATGTTAAATAAGTGTTAAAATACCTAAATTTTTTAATATAAAACTTGGAAAATTATTGAATAGTACAACCTTCTTGATAATACTCCAATTTTAACGAATGTAAGCCCTAGAACCGATTTCTGTATTGGCGGACTAATCTTCCAGCTGGTGAGCAAGCCAAAGCATGTCGAAACATTTTCGTAAGAATTTTGTTAACCGAATTTTTGTTCGTTAACCGAAATGTAGATTCTTATGGAAGGTAATT